GTATTCATCAGATTTGAGTGTCAACTTAATAGGAGGTCCGACTACCATCTATCAAAAATCTACTTCTTAATTTTGCACGGACCTTCAAGCCATTCATGCTTAGATGAGAAGGGTTACACGCATGCGTTTGAAAAGTATACAGTAAAATATAATATACAGACAAATAAGTATAAAATCGAGCTCGGTTGAAAAGTAGAGAAAAGAAACTGAAAATTACTGCAAAACTCACCACAACTTGGGTGGTATTTTCGACTGGACCATGATTAGGTGCGAGATGAGCTGCATCTTTTAAAAAAAATATGTTCACCAACAGACTCATAAAGTTAGCAATAGGTTAATTCAAGTAAATACAAACATCCAGAAAATCGCATAAGCTACCTGGCCTCGACTTCTTTTCGCTACTGAGCACACTTGGCGGAAAAAGAGTTGTTGTCTCTTGCATTCTGGTAATGGAAAGGGGAATAGATGGTACCATTGTAGGAAAGGACTCGAAAACGGATGTTGAAAGATGTAACGCCAGGCAGTCAACATATTCTGAAAAGCAGATGACCTGGAACCTAGTAGAAGACAGGGCAAGTTTACATATAGGCATCACTGAAACTGAGCATATTGATAGGAAAAAGGAGATGGAGTATCCTGGCTTTGATCACGGCAGGACTGCCTAATGTTTTTCTAATAAACAACACATCATCTATCACTGACTGCTGCAGAATTTAAAATTGTACTAAGTTAAACAAGCATACCACCATCTACCGGATGAGGACAACGGCACTCGTAAGACGCATTGTATAGAGAAGACGAGATAAGCGTGAAACTGGTTTCATCTATGATACATCTCGCCTCTTCGCCAAACATGGAACAAGCGGTGTCCCTGAATAATGACAATGGTTTGATTATGTTTGATAGTGGCACACTTCAGTTATTATACTACTTAATGAATTTACACGATGTCTTCACTACCAATCATAGTTGCATTTCAAAGATCTAACAAAGATTACCAATGCGAGAACTCACTCATGACAAACATCAACGACGTTGCAGACGGACCCAATGAATCCTTGCCTGCATTTGCATGCTACTTTATCATTTTGAACAACGCACTCTCCGTTGACACATGGTGGTTCACAGGATGCGACGGCCTTAAATAATGATTGTTATCACAGACTACTCACAAACTGTGAAGAAAAAGAGATTTTCAAACGACTTTGACCAACAACTATTGCAGGTATGTTAACTTATATCCACCCGTCAAAAAGGTGGAGACGTTTCGGCCCACAAATGCCCGAGACAAGATTTTCATGAACTTAGCGTCTATGATAAATATGCATCACAACAAAAACAGGACTTTAGTGCCATTGAAAAGAGATCAACCTGACTCTGCGAAGGAACGCAGCGCCTC